GCTCACACACTCACTCGCTCACACACTCACTCGCTCACACACTCACTCGCTCTCTCACACGCTCACTCACTCACTCACACACACTCACACACTCACACACGCTCACACACTCACTTGCTCACTCACTCGCTCTCTCACACGCTCACTCACTCACACACTCACACACTCACTCACTTACGGATCACCGCGTCGCTTGTTTTGTAATTCACATGTAGATTCTCATCAATCACAAACAATTCTAAATTATCGAAATAACCTGATTACATGTGCATGTAGAGGGTCTGTCATTTTCAGATATCTGAAAATTGCACAAGAAAGCTTTCTTTTCATATTGCTCGCTCACTCTCACACACACACACTCACTCGCTCACTCGCTCACTCACTCACTCACTCACTCTCACACACACACTCACTCACTCACTCACTCACTCACTCACTCACTCTCACACACACACACTCGCTCACTCACACACTCACAGGCATGTGTTTTCAGTTGTGGTATTTTAGCAGTGCTCGAAGGGAGAGTTCACCCAAAAATAACGAGGATTTCTTTAATGGAACACAAATGAACTTTGAGAACCAGCAACACTGGACCCCATTGACTTTCATTATATGGACAGAAAACACTGAGACATTTCTCCCAATATCTCCTTTTGTGTTCCACTGAATAAAGAAAGTCATATAGGTTTGTTTGTGTGTGTGTGTGTGTGTGTGTGTGTGTGTGTGTGTGAGAGAGAGAGTGTGTTTGGGTGCATTTGTGTGTCTATGTGTGTGTGTCGCTGTTTGACTCTTGTTTACAGTCAGACGTCCTGCTGACTGGTTGATTTTGAACCCATGCAGTTTAACACTGAGATAAACAGCGCTTTGAGACGTAGAAACAAACGTTCGGTTTGACTTAAATTTGGAAAAAACTAAAATGGATTTTTCATAGGGTCCTGAAAATGTAATTTTTGTTAAACTTTTAATGAACTGTTTCACAATTTCAATTAATTAGGCTTGCTTTTTAATTGTTAAATCAAAATTTTAATCAAAATTAAAATTTAATTTTACCATTTGAATAGAATCCAGAAAAAAATTAAATAGGAATTTAGGGAAAAAATTCATTTGGGAGAAAATAAAACATTTGATAAGCCCCCTAATATGCTAACGAGCCCCTATGTATAATTTACCCCTAAGCTAAGCTAATCAAACACACCATCCTGATTGAGCTTCAGTCACTTCTCTGATCTGCTGAGGAAAACAAATCAGGGAAAAATCGTGCTTAAAATGTGCCTGTTTGTAGGGTTTTACAATTTTGGCCAGAATTTTGAGAAAAATTATTTTATTTTACACTGCAAATGTAAAATTACAACACTAATATTGATGGCTGTCTTGATTTCAGATGTTAAAGCATCAAACTTTTTATTCTGACAGAAAACCGCAGAAGCGTGCGCTCCTTAAAGCTTCTCTTCTGTTGATCAGCACTTCTTATTACACCTTTATGAAGATGTTTAGCTCATGTTTTGTTCCCAAACGCATGTTAAAGCGACTCAGAGAGCTGGAGTTCATGTGCATGGTTTACTGCGAGACGCTGAAACATCACGAGCTGCTGGTGTGTAAATGAACACAGTGCCACGCTTCACTCTGAAACACACAGCGCAGATGCTGAACTAAATCACAGCCTTTGTGATTTGATAATCGCCACATAAAGCCATTTCTGGATTTGGGGTTTATTTTGGTTAATCATGCAGCACGAATCACTCTAAACAGACACTTCAAAACCCCACATAAACATGCACTCATATTCACACAGTCACACAACACTTCAACACTAGCTGTGTTTTATCATCTCAACTGACTGAGTGTTTGTGCTTCTTGACAGTAAACGACACTCGCTGGGATGTTTGTGTCTGATGATATTCACTCATTTATAACTGAGTGTGTGTTTATGTGCGTGTGTGTAAATATCTGTGTTTTTGTGTGCTAGTGTGTAAATGTGTTTGTGCATATATGATTTTGTGTTTCTATGTGTGAGTGTGTATGTGAGTGTGTATGCGTGTGTGTGAAAGTGTGTATATGAGTGTGTGTGTGTGTGTGTGTGTGTGTAATCCGCTCACACTCATTGTGCTGACTCTGGGTCAGGTTTCGCTCTGACAGATGGTGGTTTAGAGGTTCAGTGACCCGTGTGCTGATCATCACATCTGACCGCAGCTAGTGATGCTTTACTTTACAAGGTTTAGTTCTACTGTAAGTGTCGAGGCTCCACCCACATCACTGTAATCAATGAGCGATCTGGGTTATTAATATCTGACTGTGTTGTCGACTCTCACGTGTCAATCAATAAGAACAAATGCCTTCAGTCTCTAAAGATTCTCAGCGTGTGATTGTGTGTGTGTGTGTGTGTGTGAGAGAGAGAGTGTGTTCAGTCAGTGGAGTTGTTGTTGTTTTCATACTTTCATGTTCAAACATATAAATGTCACACGCATCACAGCAGGTGTCATACTGTCATTTACTGTAAACAGACACACTTCAACAAAAACATCTGAAAAGAAGTTTGTGTTTGAACCCAAACAGCAGCTCTAGTGTTGTGAATGAAGACAGTCAGTATTGTGTGTGTGTGTGTGAGTGAGTGAGTGAGTGAGAGAGTGTGTGAGTGTGTGTGAGTGAGAGAGTGTGTGAGTGTGTGTGTGTGAGTGAGTGAGTGAGACAGAGTGTGAGTGAGTGTGTGTGAGTGAGTGAGTGAGACAGAGTGTGTGTGTGAGTGAGTGAGTGAGTGAGTGAATGAGTGAGTGTGTGTGTGTGTGTGAGAGTGTGAGTGTGGTTAGTGGAGTCAAATTTATTTGTATAGCGCTTTTCACAGCAGCTTTACAGAAAATCATGATGTTCATGTTTATAATATCCTAATATATTTATGCCTTATAGCCGCATTTATCAGATTAGAGCTGGACAATAATACACATATAATAATAACAACAACATTTAGAGATGATATAAACAATCCAGCAGTTGAGATTGGCTGTATATTTGATTTGAACTTTAGCTAACGGTTCTGTCAAAGTTACAAACAAACATTGATAGATAATGTTAGCACTAAAACATTTACACACAGTTCATGGAATGTTTTTATGAAACTTACTTGTTTGTCTAACTATTTAAAATGGTAATATCTACTAGTTTCAGATGGTTCAGAGAAGAAACGTTCAACAAAAGTAACGTTCCCATAATGTTTGCAAAATGATCAAGTCGAACGTTCATATAATCAAGAAAAAACATTTTTAAAATGTTTATTTTTGATTACCTTCTTAACATTAAAACTAGATGTTTTAAATGTTCTGAGAATATTTAGAAATAACATTTTCATAACTTCAGGAACATTAGCAAAACGTTCTTGGAACATATTTTTGCTAACTGGGAATCGCCTTACACACGTGTACTGTATATAAAGTATATAAAGGTCACTATACAGCTTTAAATATAGAGCTGTGCGATAATAGTTTGTGATAATATGAACAATCACACAGTTGAGGTTTGCTATATGTGTCCCTGCAGCACAAAAGCAGTGTTAAGTCGCTGGGGTATATTTGTAGCAATAGCCAACAATACATTGTATGGGTCAAAATTATACATTTTTCTTTTATGCCAAAAATCATTAGGATATTAAGTAAAGATCATGTTCCATGAAGATATTTTGTAAATTTCCTACCGTAAACTAAATTTTTGATTAGTAATATGCATTGCTAAGAACTTCATTTGGACAACTTTAAAGATGATTTTCTCAATATTTAGATTTTTTTGCACCCTCAGATTCCAGATTTTCAAATATTGTCCTATCCTAACAAACCATACATCAATGGAAAGCTTATTTATTCAGCTTTCAGATGATGCATACATCTCAATTTCACAAAATTGACCCTTATGACTGGTTTTGTGCTCCAGGGTCACACACACAGAGCTGTGCGGTGGTGTAGTCGGATCTCGGGATGATGTTGGCGAGTTTAGAGACGGTCGTTAATGAGTCTCACCTGCTGCAGGTTTGTCTTGGCTCTCTGGAGCGCGTCTTTGTAGCCCTTCTGCCGCAGCTCGCTCAGACTCTCGTAGTACTCCTCGGAGTCGTCGCTGTCGGGGAACAGCACCTGGGACAGGATCCTCCACCCGCAGGTGTCCAGCGCGTGCCCCAGATACACCTGCAGCTGGAAGCAGAGCGAGTCCGCGTCCCGCGCGCTCAGATCCGGCGCGCCAAACAGCACCGTCCACACCGTCTGCTCCTCGGGGAAGGCGGGCAGACACGGCTCCAGGTCCGAGTTGACGGCGCACAGCTGCAGGTGAGCGGCGCGCAGCTCCTGGAACGAGAAGAGCCCGGCCCAGCTGGAGTCCGGCGGCGAGTCACCGAGCTCCGGCTCCGCGCTCCCTCCGCGCCGCTGCACGGTCCGGTCGTGGCACGTGACGGCGAGCTTGCCCTCGATCTCGTTCCAGGCGACGATGAAGACGAACTTGTGCTTGTGTTTCTCCTCGAAGGCGTTGGGGCGCACCGACACCCATCCGCACTCCAGCGCGTCCTCCATCATGGATCCGGACACTGCTCAGCAGAAGAAAGGCCAGACTAACGGACGCGCGAGAAAACCGTTAATAACACCGATTCCCGTCTGCTTTGTGTCCCGACGCGCGCGCGCATCGCTGCGCGTTCACTTCCGCGCGCGTCGCGTCCCCCGCGAGGCGTTTTGCGCGCTGATCCGCATCTTTAACATCGCCGATGTTTCTCATCCGACGACGACTCGCTGGGCGCTGACGTCACACAGGAGGACGTAAACATCTGCACGTGTGACACGCTCGCTGCGTGATGACGCCATCGAAGACGCACGGTGGTCGTCGTGGCCATAGATATGTATAGAGCCCCATTCGACCGCTGCGCGTCCGCCATCTTGGAACGGTCAACTCGACGACATTCACCGTACTATTCTAATTCTATTTTATCTATTTGTTGACTTGACCCTCTAACACTTGCTCTCTCTATTCGTTTTCTAACTGCTTGTTTTCTAACACTAGCATTGTCCATTCTTTTTCTATTCTATCTACTTGTTTTCGTTGTGTTATATACAGTCAGGTCCATATACAGTGTATATATATATATTTCACGAGTTTTTACTTACATGTAATAATCAGAGTAAAGGTTATGCGTATTTGGCGTGCTGTCCGAGGGGACTGGAATAGTTGTAAGTGCAGAGAAGGGCTGCTGGAAAACTGTCAAGGAACAGAGGTAGATCTGCTGTGTATATATACACACCTCTTGTTAATTAGGTTAATTAACTAAACGTGCTCCTCCCGAACTTTCTTAATAAAACATCATATATAGGGTGACCATATTTTAGTTTTCCAAAAAGAGGACAGTAGGGGGCGGGGACAAGGGCGGGGCTTCGCCTAACAGTATATGTAGCCAGGTTTTATAAATAAAAAGAAAACAAGTAGAAAGAATAGAAAAAGAACAGGGAATGCTAGTGTTAGAGGGTCATTTTTAAATAAA